ATTAATTTTAAACAAATAAAAAAGAAAGAAATATAATTGTTCAGCCCCAATATATCGAATCTGAGCTGTGTTGGAGCCGTTGCTTGGCATGCCTTCAGTCGACAAGGGGACACATAAAAACATCAGTGCCCGAAATACTTCTCCCATGACACTTATGACACATGTCTCTAGAGTGTTTCTTCAGTGGCGTTACGGTACTCCTCTTTAACACTTCTCTGTGAAGGGTATAAAAAAACATCCTTATTTTTAGATGCTAGTTTTTTAATAGACTTTTTGTTTTGTTTTTGGGAAGTGTTTTACGGCGCTCGCAACTGCATAAGGTCATATGAGCGCGCGAAACACTTTAAACATTTTCAGTTCATACGACATTTTGTATTTTGCCCGGGTGGCGGCCGAAGCCTACTCTTATCGATTTTGGGACCACCAAGGATCTTTAACGTGCGCAACTTGCACACGGGACTTCTGAGATTTTTCGCCCCTGTCCGAGAAGGCTAGGTGTAGATCTTTCCTACCATAAGATCAGGGGTGTGGCGGAAAGACAGCAGTAAGAAGGAGCCCAGGAGTAGCAGTAGAATGGCTGCAGAAAGAGTCAGGAGCCCAGAGGAGGGGGCAAAGGAGGTGAGGGGGCGGGTGCAGAAAGTGGAGACGAAAGCAGACGACAGAACATTGTTCTAGAGCAGGAAAGGATGTGAAAGGAGAAAATATTAATGAAGAAAATTTTCCGTCGTTGTCCGGATTCAAACCAGAGACCTATTGAAAGAGAGGCAAAAACCTTAACCTCTAAGCCACGAGAGCAGCATTTGAATTGATAGATCTGTTGGTGAAACGTAACAGGAAAAGTCGCCACAGATAATAATATACAAACACCCGTTACGGTGATGTTGCAGTCAGAAGGCGGGAATTCGATCCCATTTCTTTTTGGGATGCCTAATGATGTCAAGACACTCAAGTATTGGACTCCAAGAAAACAGCCTACACACACACACACACACACACACACACACACACACTCA